CCTTTTGTCTGGTAGTAAAGTAAAAAAAAAATTTAATACTGGTAGTGAAGCTGAAGACAGCCACTTTTAGTGGTAGTAAATGTCAAATTTTCCAAATTAAAAACATAGGAGAAATACTCGTGACAAGCATATAATAACGATAAAGTCATAAAGCCCTATTCGCTGTGTCTTAAAATTAATTTTAATTCAGTAGAAATATTTTAAATTCAACAAAATAATTTCAATTTAGTAAAAATAATTTAAATTCAAGTATAAGTGTTTAAAGTAACAATCCAAAGCATCGCCCGAGCAACTGACCCACACTAGTTTTCTTTTTAAAACATGAACAACAAATGTAATTATGCAAAATATATAAGAGATGTATATAAGCATGAAATATATTCCCAAAAATTGCAGTGTTCTATACTCCTTTGTGTAATTTCATGTCATTTGGATATGAACTTTTTTATTATTTCAATTTATTTATATTATATTTTTAAATAATTACTCGCATATGTTATTCCATATAGGTATGCTATTTAAAATTTTCAACATCATTTTACCGCATAAAGTTTTTATGTTACTCAGAACAATTTTTTTTTTCCATGTGATTAAGTTTTAAACAAAATAATATAAGTTTTCAGCAAAAATAACATAATTTTTTTACCAAAATAATTAATATTTAAACAATATAACAAAAGGGTTAATAAAAAAAATTATAAATAGTTTAAGAAAAATAATAATATACGAGTAATATTTTAGTAAAATGACATAAGGTATATAACTTAAAATAACACCATATCTAATATATAATTGTAGAGTTTTTTTTCCCAACTTTTATTCACAGCACTTTAATTCTTGAATGGAGCAATTCTAAGCATTCTAATTTATTTATTTTTTTTTTTTTTTTTTTTTTTGATAACTTCTTCTCCAACTTCCACTATTTTTTTTGGGAGGAAACTAACTACCTTATCTTTTTTTCTTTTTTTTTTTTGTCAATAACTTTTAATTCTCTAAATTTTAGATACAAAAATAAATAAATAATTCACTTTCACTTTTACTATTTTACAATACAATATATATCTCCACATATAATTCACTGTAGCACTCAAAATCCCCAACATTTCACTTTTTTTTAAACCCTACGTACTAAAATTTCACTTTGTTTTACGACTATTTTTTTGGTACATAGTATAATATATGTCATGCATTACCACAAGTATACAGTTTCGTTATCAACCATTCACTATAGTACTATAAATCCTCAAGCCTTCAATTATATGCATTTTTTAGGGACTACCCTCCAAACGTTTTCTTTTTTCCAACTTTTATTCACAACACTTTAATTCTTGAATGGAGCAATTCTAAGCATTCTAATTTTTTTTTTTTTGTTTTTTTTTTTTTAATAACTTCTTTTCCAACTTCCACTATTTTTTTTTTGGAGGAAAATAACTACCTTATCTTTTTTTTTTGTCAATAACTTTTAATTCTCTAAATTTTAGATACAAAAATAAATAAATAATTCACTTTCACTTTTACTATTTTACAATACAATATATATCTCCACATATAATTTACTGTAGCACTCAAAATCCCCAACATTTCACTTATTTTTAAACCCTACGTACTAAAATTTCACTTTGTTTTACGACTATTTTTTTGGTACATAGTATAATATATGTCATGCATTACTACAAGTATACAGTTTCGTTATCAACCATTCACTATAGTACTATAAATCCTCAAGCCTTCAATTATATGCATTTTTTAGGGACTACCCTCCAAACGTTTTCCGTTTCTTTAATCATCAAAAGCAAAAAAAAAATGTACAACACGTTTTTGTGGAACTAGCCTCAGCGAATAACTACTTGCAACAGAACAAAGTATGTAACTCCTAGAGCAAGACACTAACTCATATGACACTAACCAAGTAACACGAGTAACCCCTATAACATTGAATGGGTAACCTCTATAACTTTGAAAAGGTTAACTTCAAAATATCATTGCGTGACCACCGACATAAAAGAGTAAGACCCTGTTTTTTGATCTTCTAAGCAATTAAAGCATTGAATATCATATTTCAGCATAGCACAGCAGGTGTCATCATATAATTAATACGATTATTAAAAAAGCTAATTAGGGTTTAACAGAACCGACCAATCCAAAATCGACCATTACAGCTCAAGTCTAAATTACAACATCAAAATCAACTTTTTATATTTTAAATAAATTTTTTCTTATATATCCCGTGCATTTTTCACGGGTACACTCTAGTTTAATCAAATAGAAAGGGATAAATATATAAAAGAAAAATTACAATATTTTTAAACATAATAACATTAAATTATTGAAAGAATAACATAAGGTTAAATAAAAATAACGAAATATATGATAAAAATTAAAAATAAATTAAAAAAAATAGTAACATAAAACAAGGATTTATCAAAATAACTCAAGGTTTTTGAATAATAACATATGATTTTAACAAAATAACACAAGAACAAAAATACAAGCTTAATTCAAAATAGTGCAAGTTCAACTCAATTATACAACTCAATTTTAATTGAATTTAAATTCAAATTTACTTACCTATTTTGTTTTAATCTTTGATATTGTGCTGATTTGTTCATTTTTCTATGAATTCATGAATATTAAACCCATTTAGATGTCGTAAAATTAAAAAAATTCACATTCAATTGAACAATTTGTGCTTAGCTTGTTTGTGGTAGTCAATGCATATTTTGGATGAATTTAGTAGTTTTTGTTGAATAAAAAAAGTTTTAATAAAGTAAAGTGGAGGTTTGAGAATTTGGAAAGAGAGAAAGTAATGCTTTTTTTTTTTTTTTTTTGTGTGTGCTCATATTAATTTATGAGCTCAGACTAGATAAACCTCTTCCTTGAGCCTAGAATTGAATGTATGGCAGTACTCAATGAATACAGATAAGAAGACAAGCTTTATTGCTTGTCTACATATAAGGCTCTATCAGGTATAAGTACTTACTATAGTTCTTGGTTTCGAAGTGAATGAAAGGTTTTTATTAGCAGCATGAGTCCACGAACGAGGCTATTCTTTCCATCGTTAAATAGTAACCAATCTCACCTTCGCCACACTCCTTTGACCCTATTTATATAGTCTCACATGTATATGTTATTTTGTTTTAAAAATATGTTATTTCCATTTAATTTGTTATAATTTGTTTCCAAAGAATATGTTATCCTTGATGTTTTGATGATCACACAAGTCAAATATATATTTGAAATCTAATGCTTTGATGTTTTGAAGCTATGATATAAGTTACAGGACAAGAAGAGTTGTTCACGCTGAGGACTTGAAGTCAAGAAGAAAAGACATACTATAATAGTTTCTTTGTAGGATCTGAAGCTTTGGAGTAGGAGCTGAAGAATGAGAAGATCTTTAGAAGACTCAAAGTAAAGACTTCAGCAGAGAATCACTAAAAAATAGTGTTTTTTTATACTTTAGGATTTATATAAGTGAAAGTGAATAGAAGTTTGTTGCCTTAGTGGAATGCATTAGTTGGCTTAAAAAAGATAGAATTTGAGTTGCTTGAATTTAGGAAAACTATTGTTCAATGAAATTTTTTTCTGTTAAAATTATCTTGTTTAAGAGAATATCTTTTTAACAGTTTTACTAAAATTGCGCTTTTAGTGTTGATAAAACTCTTCGTATTGCTTCAACGTGCCCTGAATTTTATGACATGATTGTGCAACTGGAGGGTGTGGGAGTTAGTGGCGTAGGCTTGCACAAGTAGTAGTGTTCGAATAAAGCTATGGTTTTTCTATAAATAGAGAAGTTGTTTAATTTTATGGAAAAACTATCTTACTCAAATATATCTTCTATCGTTCTTTCTTTCAAAGTGCAAACTCTTTTATAGACTTGGTTCACATTAATTTATTGTGGGCCACTAATAGTAGAGACATTATGGCTGGATTATTAATACGTAGTATATATATATATATAAAAGGTCACTATATTAGAATATAGGTTATTATATTAAAATAAAAGCAATTGTCGTAAAATTAACCTTTTTTTATACAATTTAAAAACATTGGTCAATATAAATAACAATGGTCACTAGGTTGAAATTTCAATAAGTTCAACATAACGTCATATTTCAAGTTTGCAATAATGTTAAAAATCCACAAGTTTTAATAAAGATTACTATGTTAAGATTAAGATTATTATATTTAACATTAGGGTCATCATGTTTAATATAAGATCGGTTCACGTACTTATAGATCAAATTCACACAAGTTTTTCTACTTTCAAAGAGTTAAGAGTTGTATTCCACTTTAGCTAATAACTTTCTTATTCCTTAAAAGTTGTAATTGGATGTTGGGAAGTTTGAGTGAACTTCGAGTAAAGTTGAGAGAAAGAGAAAAGCAGCAAGTTGAGGGACTTAATGTTGGGAACTCTAAGTTCGTTGGGGATTTTAGAGATTGAATATTTGAGTCTTTAGCTTGTAATCGGTTGTTTGCCTTATTCTAGTAGTAGTTGTAGTTTTTTCTTATTGTTAAGACCAAGAAGTTTTTCACGCTAAAATTCTTTCTATGTCTTTGAGTTCCCTCATCTTTATATTCTTTATTTTGTAAAAAGTTGTCTAAACTTCTCTATACTGCAATTCACCCCTCCCTCTTGTAGCATTCTTAACAGACTCCTCATTGATCATCTTGATAGATGATTTATGCAAAGGGAAGTTTTATAAATTTTTGTAATAAAACCACTAACATCATCAGCAAGCTTAAATGTAAAAAGTGCTACATTTTCATAATATATTTAAAAAGGGAAAAAGCTAATTAGCGTCTTAAGGCGTTAGATAAGATAATTAAAAGTGAAAATATTAGAGTAAAATTAACATTAATTACGCCGAATGACACGTGATTTTATCATTCCTAACTTAATTCTAATTCAACCAATATAATTATTCACGTTGGTTGTTAGCAAGTTTCTTAAAAAAAGTCAAATAGCCTTGATTACAATTTGTTGCTTGTTTTGCATTCCAAAATTTAACAAGGTGAAGACAAACTTGGCTTTTCTTCTTTCCTACGATTTTCCATTAAAATACACATGCAAGATCCCACGTGGCATAAATCTATAACATCAAAGTCCAAGGTCCCAAAAATCTCCAACGTGAAACTTGAATTGAATAGTCTTCTTTCTCGTGTTCTTCCTTTCCCCCCGAAAGTGAAGGAACAAATTCACTGCACCTCTAAAAAAAACCCACAAATAAAAATCTTCACCAATCAAAAACAACCCCAGAAATTCTCCTTCAAAAACAAAGAAAACCCAGAAATATCTCCTTCAAAAAACCAAAAAAAATGGAAAAAATCTCTCACAGAAAAATCCCAGTAAATGGCATAAACATGCACATAGCAGAAATCGGCGACCCCACAAAACCAACAATCCTCTTCCTCCATGGATTCCCTGAGCTCTGGTATTCATGGCGGCACCAGCTTCTCGCCGCCGCCGCCGCCGGTTACCGCGCCGTCGCACCGGACCTTCGTGGGTACGGTGACACCGACGCGCCGCCGTGTTCTTCGAGCTACACCTCGTTCCATGTCGTCGGAGATTTAATCTCTCTCCTCGATTTTCTTGAAATTGATCAAGTTTTGTTGGTGGGTCATGATTGGGGTGCGATTATTGCTTGGCATTTCTCTCTGTTTCGGCCTGATAGAATTAAGGCGTTGGTTAATTTAAGTGTTCCGTTTTCGCCCAGGAACCCTAATCGGAAACCTGTTGATGGGTTGCGTAAATCTCTTGGAGATGATTTTTATATCTGTAGATTTCAGGTAGTTTTTTGGGTTTTTTTATTTTAAAATAAAAAAAATTCAAGTGTGTTTTTGATGAATGTTTTGTGTAATTTTTGGTTGGTGTTCATGATTTTCTTTGATGTTGACTTGTTCAGTTCATTTAATTCTTCTATTTTGTGGTTTGTTGAATACTGTTTGATCATTTATTGTAGTTTTTTTAGTATTATGAACAAAAGAGGCAAATCAGTTATTTTTTTTTTTTGGTGGGTTTGTGTAATTAATGTTTTTTTTTTATTATTTTTTTAAATCTGATTTTTGAGTGAAAATGAAGTCAACCCTAGGTCCCAGTATCTGATTTTCAGAGGATAAATGGATATTGAGTGAAAATAAAGAACTAGTTGAGAATTTCCTTAATTTATATTCTCTGGAAATTAATTGGGATATACCCAATTTCACATTTGGTTGCTGCATGTAGGATGTTTATAGCAAATGAATATTTAGAATTGTAAAGTTAAATGCTGGCTTTTTACACTTTTGAACTGTTTGTTTGTTTGTTTTTTAACTGATAAATAGATTGATGGGTGTTTATGGTGAATTATTTGATGGCTTGTAACTTTGTAAGTCTTCTTTTTGGTGTATGATGACAAATTCAACCTGGTAAGCTACTCGAATTTAGTTCGGCCCAATAACTATTTCCAGTAATTTATTTACTTAACCCCAAATTTGATTGATTTTTTTTTCCTTGGTTGATGATGATTTTGACCCGTATAATCAATAGTCTGCCCAGTTATCGAATACAGAGTATTGTGAAGTAGTAATAATTCTCTTTCTTATTGAAACACATTTCTCTCTATGAAGTGCACTATTGTTGTGTATTCTGCTTAGAAGCTATTTAACTGAAGTTTATTGCATTGGTCGTTCAGTTGCCCCCTCTGGCAACATTGTTTGGACAAATATCAGGCGAATGCTCATTTCCTCTTTGATAAGTATGGACACGAATCGTATCTTCATTGCACTTACCTTCTGGGCAGTTCCAAAGTTTTCACGAATTTAATAGTATCCTCATTATAGTGCATCCTTGACTGTTTGCTGTCATACTGTAGGAACCTGGAGAGATGGAGGAAGAATTTAACAGTATCGATACTGCTAGATTAATGAAGCAATTTCTTGTATCCCGTGATCCAAAGCCTCCTTGCATACCTAAAGGAAAAATGGCAGCAAGTGCACAAAAGGCTATTACTTTGCCTCCATGGCTTTCAGAGGATGACATCAACTATTTTGCTGAAAAGTTCAAACAGACAGGCTTTACTGGTGGTCTGAACTACTATCGAGCCATGAACCTGTATGTTTCTCCTTAGTCTTGGAATTGTTAATAGACTTATTGCGTGATCATTGTCCTGACATTTTCCCAACATTTCACATATATCACTTAAAGACTAGAAAGAACTTGAGATGGTGTGATGAGGCATAAGCCAATATGCAGTAGTATTTGTATTTTTAGTGCTTTTGTGTACAGTATCAGGGATACACATGCACTCATTGCTAGAATTCACAGTGTCAGGTATATGCTTACTTGAGTGAATTTTTGGCAATTAATTATGTATTTTCACCGAGAATCATTCAATAAGGTTCCAACTTCCAAGTGGTTGCTCTAGAGACATGGAATTGAGGCTTGTATGAACCATATCCATTTGCATTCATGACTCATTATGTACATTGTAGAACAAAAGAAAAGGCATTTATAAACATTTTCTTCTTTTATTTGATAGACCATTATAGGCCTTTGAAACAGTTAGTTTTTGCCTAAATCGATATATATAGCTTTGGCATGTTAGTGCTGACTCATTGTCACTGCATTTAGGATTCGAACTACTGGGAATCCATTACTTAATTCTTAGGACTAACAATGTTGCCAATGCAAATGTCTTGAATATATGATTTTGTGGCATTTCAATTTTAATAGGCCACAGAATAATGAACCATTTATTAATGCTGTACAGTTTCTTTTTTTATTGGTAGGACTTGGGAGCTCATGGCACCATGGACAGGGGTGCAGGTTAAAGTACCTGTTAAGTTCATTTTGGGGGAGCTGGACATAACCTATAGTTTTCCGTACATGAAGGATTACTTACACAAGGGTGGATTCAAGAGAGATGTACCACTTTTGGCTGAGCTTGTTGTAATGGAAGGAGCTGCTCACTTCATCAATCAAGAAAAGCCGGAAGAAATAAGCAATCATATTTTGGAATTCTTTGAAAAGTTTTAATCCTCTGGTATTTCTCAAGATGCTCTTTGGCTTGCTTGATGCATTCAAATTAAAACTTTTGTCGTTTTAGAAAGAGCATAACGTGCTCTAATTAGTTGTATACATGATTTACAAAGGTGTTGATATGGTGTGTCCCATATACAGTGCTCTTTGGGATCTTCTCCTTTTCCATTGTATAGTGTTTAAGTACCCCTCTTTGTCCCAATTGTTGAGATTCAAATAAGTTGAATACATCTTTTTCTTGCCACAATGTCTGAATTATCTTGTGTTATTTAAAATTAAGTTGAATGGTTTTGTTTCTAATGCTATCATTGTAATTTTAGGGGGCATGCATATTAGTTCTATACTTCCTCTTGTTGTACCCATTTTAAAAGAGATAGGAGGCAATCTAGAGTAGCTGGCTAGTTCTCCGACTTATAGGCGTGGAGGCAAGAGGTCGAATCTCACCATTTCACTAAGCTCATTCTAGGAGGGATTTTCCTAAATCCCCCTTCCTACAATGGGCCTTCTCCTTACCTCACAAAAAAACACAATGTATATACTGTTGTGTTCAAGACCCACTACCAACACTAGTAGGATAGCTTGTAGAATAAGACCAGCAATTATTAGTGTGTGGAATAAGCCAAGCAAGGTAGTGTGTAGAATAAGCCAAGTGTTGACTTGATTGCTTTTGTGGTAGTGTGCTTTGTACACTTTGTAGTTGGCTTGTAGAACAAGCCAAGTTTGGTAGAGTGCTATATAAGCTATAGCATGTGTCTTGTTGTAGTATCACTAATCATAAGAGTGGTCACACAAGCATTGTAGCTGTGAGGAAAACACAACACTTGCTCTAAGATTTTGCGAGAAACAAAAGAGGGTGAGTGTTTGTAGTAGCTTAGGAGTGTTTGTAATTGCGGTTTTGTAGCTCAAATTTAATAGTGAGATTGTCTTTGAGAGGGTAACAAAGTTACCCATTATTTGCTTGTGTTGTGGTTTGTTATTCTTTGGCATTGTTGTTTATATTTGCTTGCTTTCAATCCCAAATTCTTAACAAATTGGTATTAGAGCGGAGGTTGTTTTGGGGTGATTTGAAGGCCAAATATTAACTAAGTTGAGGTAGAAGAGGTGCGGGAAAGTTGAGGTTAGTGTGCTAAATGAGAGCACCAAAAGTAGTTTCACTAGAAGAGCTTAAAGAAGTAGAAGTGTGCTAGAGTGAGAGAGGAAAAATGTAGAACTGAAAGTGAGTTGTGAGAGTGTCGGTACAAATTTTGCGCTGCCAAGTAACGTTACACGATGTGATCTTGTATCGAAAGGCCATTTGACATTGTGGTGGTCATTTGGCGTATTCCGTGGCGCGACGGTAGTAGTAGAGGTGGTTGGTAGATTGTGGTGATGTGCTAGTAGCTCCACTATGAGATGGTGTTGGAGGATGAGAGCACAAACACACAAGAGGGAGTGTAGAGGTATGAGCGCCTTGTAGCGGATTGGAGTTCTACGAAGAAGGGTCTTGAAGATGATGAAGACCACGAAGGAGGGGGAGGCATGATGTTTTGGTGGTTCCTAAAAGAAGTTGAAGGTTGAGGATGAAGGTTCATGGAACTTCTTCCGGGTCACCCACCTTGACGGGTCGCAAGCACACTCCACTCTACATTAGTATGTAGAACATAATTCACGGCCTCCCCTCCATCGAAACTATCTTGCACTGCCGTTATTACCACAGGACACACCGCAATCGCGAGGTCACACATTTGAGGAAACCGTCCCATACACATAACGCCCATGTCTATCTTGACAAGCTACAAGCTATGATATCACTTGTTGGGCCACCCACCTTGACGGGTTGCACGCACACTCCACTCCACATTAGTAAGATATTATCTGCTTTAGGCCTAGCCCGCACAGATTTGTTTTTAGGCACCTTTCTAAAAGGCCTCATACTATTGGAGTGTGCACTCACTTATAAGGAGCTCTGTTCACCTCCTTACTCCTTCCATGTGGGGCTTGAGATGAACTACACCAACATATACTTCTATTTACATTATTATAGTTATAGCTGCATATTTACACTATCTTTTTGTGTGTTAGGATTGCAAGCCTAACAAGTATAATTTGGTAGATTGACAGCCGGTGTTGAGCAAAGGTTATGATCTTGAGGAACTTGCTGTGAAAACAAGATCGCTATAATGCTATGGGGTCCTTTATAAAAAGACGTGTTGGCCTTGGTATATTAGCAATGCATTACGCCAAGTAGGAAATGTGTTCCAAAATATCTTGGCTTTCGGAGAGGAAGTCTTTATTGATAATTTTCCTGATTATTACACCATAAATAATAATTAGGAATGTAATATATTATTTTTAATAAGTATTGCAATGAATTTGGTGGTATTAAGTGAACCATTAATAAAGTTATAATTAAATCCTAGGTCTAGTGGTGAATGCTACCTTACAAATATGGTGCACAAAACGTAAACTATAATGTCATTTTGCGAAGGTGTTACCATTTAGTAAGGGATTTGACAGAGTTTTTGATCGAATTATTAGCTCATAGTTCTTGTTGTATTCTTCGTCTAGGTTAAAAATTTTAGCATTTACCTGAGAAATAGACTTATGGGCTGCAATGCAATCATCAAGGTCCTATTCAGTCTTCAAACGAATAACATAGTTTTAAGAATTGAACCATAGTTAAATTGATTTTCAAGAATGAAAGATACATTTAGATGTATCACTTTTCCTTTTAATCAATAAGTTTTCTTCACTATCATATGAGCTTTCTTCATTTGCTCTCTCAAAAATTGTGTAAGAGTCCACAATTACAAAAGTGATGCTATCCACTCCACTTCAACAATAGACTCCTTTGAACATGTGTATCCTCCACTTGAGGGGTAGGTTGCCAATAGTTAATGGCTGAGGTTGCCGCCAAATTGAACATTTAGTATTAGAAAAATTTAGAAAAAATGAACATTTTCTAAGTAAACATATTTTACAATAATTTTGTATTTCTCAATAATTAAATGCTCATTTTCATGTAGTTTGATGGTCATTCTTATAAAATAAATGTTCATTTTCATGTCGTATGATGTTCATTCTTATAAAAATAAATGTTCATTTTATTTTTTTTAATTAATACAATTTTTTGTGTTTGTTCAATTGTATTAAATGCTCGTTTTACCACTCGGATCTCAAACGGCAATGGTGCTTCATTCTCTTTCTCTCTGCCAAACTCTGCTCTCAGCCTCTACTTCTCTTACTGTCTCATCAAACTCCATAAAAATCGACATTGAAGCTTCATTCTAGAACCTTTACTTTCTCTTTTTATTGTAACTTAATGGTGCTATCTCATTAATGGTGGAGTGAAGGGGAGTGAGAATGGTGCTGTTAATGGAGAATTAGCTAAGTTTGACAATGGTGATATTATGGCCGCAGTGAAGAGTGTGGTGCAGGAAGATTCTGATGCTAAGGTAGAAGAAGTAGTGGCGGAGAAGACGAAAACGAAGGCGATATCGGAGAAGAAGACGGAGAAGATGTTCAGAAATAAATATTCATTTTTTTCTAGTAAATGTTCACTTTTTTTAAGTAGATGTTCATTTTCTAGGCGCGATCTCTTGCTGAGCAATGAAAATTTTGCGGTAGGTTGCTCCCCATTCTCATGAACCTCTTCATCAAGCTTTCCTAGCCAAAGCCCAATTCACCACGTGAAAGTTCGTCACTATCTATAGCTCCTTACTTAGAAGTTAGAACCTTCCTTCTCCATAGCCACTGGTTCATGACCTTTCGACTCTTGCTAAAGAAGAGAAATTTTGTTATTTGATTTGTTAAAGTTAGAAATGTTGGCGAATTCAATTAGGTGAAAGTAAAAGACAAAAAGATATAGATTCGAGCCCTCGGTAAACAAAGTCTACATAACAGTTCCAATGCTACGCCTTGAACTGCTCAGCGATCTCTCCTACACAATAATTATGACTCATACACCGAAGAAAAATCGAGAATTAAAAAAAAAAAAAAAAAAGGTTGTTCAAGTAGTCAAGGATATGGTACTACTTTTAATGGGAGACATAAAGGGTTTGTTCTCTTACGTTGAAATTCAGTTCAGTTCAATTCAATTCAACTCGGTTCAGTTCAGTTCAGTTCAGCTCAGCTCAGTTCAGTTCAGCTCAGCTCAGTTCAGCTCCTAATTTCCTTCTCTTATAAAATATTCATTTCACTTCAGTTCAGCTCAGTTCAGCTCAATTCAGTTCAGTTCAGCTCAATTCAGTTTAGCTGAATTTAGTCAATGAGAATAGTCCCTAAGTTTGCATGATAAATCTGGGGGACTTTACAACCATACAAAGGAAATAAGAACATTTGTACTTATTTGGATAGCAAGATACAAGGAAAATTTGTATAAGATAAAAAAAAAATTAAAAAAATTAAAAAAATTGAAAAAAAAAAACTTTTAAAAGCTTTATCGTAAATTAAAAAAAAAATAATAAAAAAAACCCCGAAGTTAAAATTTTTTTGTTTAAAGAAAACTAGTATCTTAATTAGGGCCTATTTTGGTTAACTGAACTGAACTCATTGGAGCTGAAATGAATTGAACTGAATATTTTATGAGAGAAGGTAATTAAGAACTGAATTGAACTAAACTAAACTTATCAGAGCTGAACTTAACTGAAAATAATCTGAAGAGAACAGGTCCTCAATCTCTAATTACTATCTAATTCTCAATTAATTATTTAATGGGAAAATTCAAGTTTATCTCTGTGATAAACTTGAAAATATATCTCCTCTCACAATATATTGTTTTATGTTTATTTTCAAAATAATAAAAGTGAAATAATAAAGTGGCACAGAAATCAATGCGAGAAATTGTTAGGGGAGATTAACTTGAAATGTTAATCTCAGAGATTAACTGGAGCTCCCTCTTATTTAATAATAAAAAAAAAAATACACCATCTCCACCCACCAACCCAGCCACCCTCCTCCCTATCCCCTTCCCCCGACAACAACTCCCATAACCGGCCACCCAACTCCACCGCAACCCCACCCACCACCTCAGTCGCGATAACCATCTCAACCACACCTACTTAACCAGAATTCCCGAAATACCACACACCACTGCCTACAAATATCCCCTCGACCTCGACGGGACTATGTTTTTTTCCTCCCTCTTCTACTTCACTTTTTCGGTTTTCCCCTTCTTCAACACTATCAACATTCAACCATTTACAATCAAAATTTATTTAATTTGGAAAAGGTAAATGAGTGAGGAAACTAAGCTAGCAAGAGAAGCTAGAAAGCATGGCGCCAAAGATCTGAAACCGCCATTAACGGGATTGATTTGCTTAATTTGTGGAATTTATTGTTGACATTCTCATTTTTTGCTTTAAGTTTCAGTAATCTAAGGTGGGTTGTCGGGTTTAGGGTTTCAGGAGGGGGTTGACCGGACGTGAAGGTGGGTCGTCAGGGTTGGGGGGTTAAGGTGGCAGCTGAGTTGGGGGAAGGGGAAGGGGAAGGGGAAAGGGAAGAAGGGGGCTGGTGGTTAGAGTGAGAGCCCCTGAGAGGTCTCCGAAGAGACATAGACAACAGGAGTTGGAGTTTTGGATATAAAAATACTCGTACAAGTTATGGATTATACTTGTTCTACATTTGTGTATTTGTTTTTTCTTTTTTTTTTTGGAGGATTGTTTACTTGTTTAATTAATCAAAGATAAGGAAACCATCGAAGACTGCATTAGATTATTTACAAATATAATTTCTAAACCAATTTTTTAGCAATTTATTTCTCTACTAATTCACTCATTTCACCACAGATTTCATACTCCTTGGTTTTTTAGACTAGATACTTGCTTAGTGATGGATTCAACGGTCAGAAAGATCAACTCAAAACATAACATTCAAGTAAAAACATCCCTAAAGGCAACACTCGAGCAAAAGCAGGCAAAAGTTAGGGCAATCTCTTCAACAAAATTTACCTTCAAAACTGATGATAACAACATTCAAGTCGGGGGCAAAATCTGCTATAACTAATAATTTGCTTTGCTAACCCAGCATAAAAAGGAAAAATGAAGCTCAAACCCAAATTGTAACACATGGATTGACAAAGTCTTTGATAATAAAAACCAACAAACTCTTCTATCTTGATATTTGACTTAGTTTCTGTAACCACGGCTGTTACGTCTACCTCTGGCCTTCTCAAATTTCCGGCCAGTAGATCGCACATAAGGCTTGGTGTGACTGTGGGGAACACCAGGAGCCTTGCCAAAGTGCTTGACAGCCTCTCTTGAGTTCTTAGGACCCCTTAGAAGAACCTGCAGATTTAATAGTAAAGATTAAAATTACCTCAAGTAAGAACTAAGAACTACTCCTTATCAAAATTAAATCTTTCTTCTGTATAATCAAATGAGTAAACAAACTCCTATTCTTAATTTTTTTTTAAAAAAAAAATACACCCAACATAACACTTGCAAAAAAAAGCCGCAACAAACTAAAGTAAAGTTCAAAACCAAGTGTTACATATACCAATATATGCAACTCAACCATGCAAATAATGTCAAGTGAACTTAAACACTCATTTGTTTTACAGATGATGAATAGAGGGCAAACATAAAGGACAATTGGGTCGATTCAAAGTACAAAGTACATTGTAGTCACACCAGTAGGAAAACATCAAATGGACTTCATAGAAGCAACACTAATGAATAAAGGAATTGCATCAATTCGCCTTTATGCAATCAGGCTCTCAAATTGGAGAAATCGCAAGACTATATATGTGTTTTTACCGGCAACATGTCGCCATAAGTCGATAGCCATTGTTACATACAAGACACAGGTGAAGTAAATTGTTTTAAGATTAGGGTATCACTTCTCATAGCATTTAGAATTTTGTACTTTCAATTTCAGCTAGAGTTTGCATCACGCAGTATCAAGTAGTTTCTTAACACATTCAATTCTAAAACTTAAAAAGTTCAATTATGAACCTAGCTTCAAAGATAATGCAGATGTAGCCAATCTAATCCAAACAATAACCACCTATTACCAGAATATATCATCCTATTTAATCAACACCTACAAAATCCTGATAAACATTAATGAATAAAATGCTGCATTAACAAAATGCTCAAACGATAAATTTTCCAATTTTTGAAATGTAAGTACTTTAATCACAAACATATACACAATAAAGAACACAATAGACTGGATCAAAGCAACTATACCGTGTTCTGGCCAAGAGGAGCTCTTAGAGCCAACTGATCAAAGGTAAGGCACTCGCCACCGGCCTTTTCGATAC